GTGCGGGCTGCGCTCCGCAGGTGTGACGTCACGGCCCCGCCCGACGCGCGCCGCTGCCCTCCGCGGACGCGAGGTCGTGGGGCCTCCGGGCCGCCCCGGCCCCACGAGGACCGCTGGAGACCGCTGCCCGCCCTGCTCCTCTCAGTCCTCGGTCCGCATCCCACATCCTCTCCATCACCCGTTCATCCACCAGACCATTGATTCCGTTATTCAGCAAGCGCTCAACCCAGACTCGTGAAATGCCCCAGCTAGAAGTGACCTTAAAGATGCATTCCTTCATTCAACAAATATTTAGGGAGCATCTGATCGGTACCAGGCACTGGTCCAGGTGCCCAAGATATATCAGGAAAAGCTTACATTTGTGAATAACCAAGATAATTTCAGGTAGCAATAGGTGCTATGAATATGCTTCGTAATATCCTGCGGGAGAAGGGGGGTGTTAATTACAGATTCTAGGACCAATCCCAGACCTCAAGAGACAGACTCTCTCAGATAGTGCCCCCAAATCTGCATTTAATAAGGTATTTCTTGTCCAGACTACAATTTGAGTACAGCCAAATTCTAAAGAGGTTTTAGTACAAATCCTCATCCAATCATTCACTTAACAAACGTATATTAAGCACCGACTACGTGCCTGGGACTGGGGAAACAAAGATAAGATAAAAGTAATAGAGTCCTGGTCTGATTTTCTAAGGCTCCGTGTCCTCGACTGTGCAAAGGGAATCTCTAGCCTAGGTGCTATAGCCGGGAGGATGGGTGGAGAGAACTGCACCAGCAAGAGACGGAAGCAGAGCAGGTGGACAGGACCTACTTGCTCTCTCTCCTTCTTGCGCTAGACTGAGACACTCGCAGTCTGGCAAGGGAGACACACACATGGGCGGAGAGGCATGGGCCGTGTCTACACGGTGGACAGAGAGAGGACAGAGAGCAATTGACCCCAACTCCAGAGGCTTGTGGATATCTTTACAAAAAAAAAAGAGGACGTTCCAAGCACCCGAGACGTTATTAAGAACACTGAGGTCATGGCACAAAGACAGCCAAAGCCTGGAGGAATCGAGCAAATGAATGAATGTGCTGATATTCCAGATGAGGGTCCTCACTATGGGAGAATGCAAGGAAGAACCCTGTGGGATTGGACTGGAATCTGAGGTATTGACATGAATTTATTATTTTTAAAAATATCTGTTTCCTATCTTCACTTAAAAGGCCTTTAGGCACTGGTATTCCTGTAATACTAGCACACCCAGTGCCCAGACCTTGGTTTCTAAATACTTCCCCACTGGAAGGAACCAGCGTTTCTTGGAGAAAAGGCCAATTCCAGGGCGGGGCAAAGAAAGTACAAGATGAGCCTAGAACATCGTGTTTGGCAAAAAAATAAGAAAATGCTAAAAAAAAAAAAAAATGATGGGAATAGGTCAAAAGGACACAGGAGCTAGATTGAAAGGCCAAATCAGGAACAGTTTGCGCATATTAGTCAAAAACTGGAAACAGCTCAAATGTCCATCAACGGTAGACTGGATAAATTGTGATATATTCATGCAATGGAATACTTACTACACAACCATAAAAAAGAATTACTGATATGTGCAACAACATAGGTGAATTTCACAGTCACATGATGAACAAAAGAAGCCAAACACAAAAGGCACTACATTGTATGCTTCCATTCATATACAGTTCAAAGACAAACAAAACTAATCTATGGTGATAGAGGTCAGAAAAGTGCTTAATTTGGGGCAGACAGAGGGGTTGAGTGGGACCAGACACAACTACCCTCCAGAGTGTTGGAAACATTATATCTTGCTCTCAGAGATTGTTACATGATGACATAGACATAGGATAGATAGATAGAGATGAGAGAGAGAGATAAAGATGGAGGGCCTGTTTCATGGGCATGTATCTGGAGAGTCAAGGAGGGCCCTGTTCTCAGAAGGGCCCTGCACTTGGGGATTAATGCTCTGTGGTTACCATCTTGAAATTCTTAATAATTTTGTCTTTGAACTTGTGCTTTATAAGTGAAGTCTGATGGGGCAATGGAGCATGTGCTGAGGGCTTGGAGCTTCAGCTCACAAGTAGTCCCACCTCCTGCCATCTTGCCAGGACAAGGTCTTGACTGCCCACTCCTCTGTCCTCTAGTGTTGCAGCCCTGCCCAACCTCTCTCCTTGCCCTCACCCAGCGACCATGGGACCTAGGTGCCAGCGAGAAGAGGATCAGGTCTGATGCTCACACCTCATGGCATCTCAGAGTGGGCCATGATCATAGCCATCGCTGTCATCTCTGTCCTGGACTGGCAGCACCTCAGCACATTTGGTGGATGAATCAGCCAAGACGACCCTCTCTCCCACCACCAACTCAGTTGGTGGCCAGCTGACACCTTGTGCCTCCTGAGGTGATGTACCGAGAAGGACACAGAATCACTTATGTGGTTTTCCTACCAAAAATTCATATCCTGAATTGAATAATGAGGAGAAAATACAAAACCCAAGCCAAGGGACAATTTATAAAACAGCAGACCTGTCTGACCTGTACTCTACAAAAATGTAAATGTCATGGAAAACAAAACAAAACAAAAAGCTGAAAGAACTGTTTTAGATTAAAGGAGACTAAAGATATTTAACAAATAAATGCAATGTACAACTCTGGATTCGATACTGGATCATGAAAAGCCAGAAAGGGCATTACTGGGACAATTTGCAACATATGAATATGGACTCTATATTACTTGGTAATACTGTGTTAATTTTAAGTTTCATGAATTTTAAAACTGTATTGTGGTTATGTAAAAGAATGTTCTTTTTTTTAGGAGGTACATGCTGGAGTATTTGGGGGTGTAGAACGTGATGGCTGCAACTTACTTTCAAATGGTTCTACAAAGAACCACAATTATAACACTAATGTGAGTGCATGTGTATAGATACATTGAAAGAGGAAGAAAATGTGGCAAAAGCCACAATTGGTGAAGGTAGGTGATGGTATATGTTCATTGTTGTATTAGTTTTCTATTTCTGCTGTAACAAATCACCACAAACTCGGTGTCTTAAAACAACACGAATTTATTATCTTACAGTTCTATAGGTCAGAGGTCTAATGTGGGTGTCACTGAGCTAAAATCAAGATGCCGGCAAAGCTGCATTCCTTTCTAGAGGCTCTAGGGGTGAATCCATTTCCCCGCCTTTTCCAGCTTCTAGAGGCTGCCCACTTTCCTCGGCTTGTGGCCCTTCCTCCATCTTCAAAGTCAGCAATAGCCAATCTAGTTTTTCTCACATCATATTCCTCTGACAGTGACTCTTCTTCTGCCTCCTTCTCCCACTTTCAAGGACCCTTGTAATTATATTGGGCTCACCCAGTTATCCAGGATAATCTATTTTACGGTCAGCTGATTAGCAACCTTAATTCCATCTGCAATTTTAATTCCCTTTGACATGTGACATAAGATACCCACAAGTTCTAGGGATTAGGACATGGACGTCTTGGGGGGGGGCATGTTATTCTGCCTACCAAAGTTGTGTTACTTCTTGTAACTTTTCCATAGGTTTAAATTTTTTCAGAATAACAACCTAAAAGAAACCTCTGTTAACGTAGAAAATCCTGAGAACTCTACAAAAAAAGCCATAGAATTAATAAGTGAGTTTAGCAAGATCACAGGATACAAGGCCCACAAACAAAAATCAATTCTATTTCTACATACTAGCAACAAACAATTGGAAATTGAAATTTTTAAGATACCATTGGCAATAGCATCAAAAATCATTAAATGCCTAGGAATAAATCTAAGAAAATACGTGCAAGGTTTGTGTAACAAAAGCTATAAAACATTGATGGGAGAAATTAAAGAAAATCTAAAGAAGTGGAGACATATACTATGTTTATGGATTGGAAGATTCAACGTTGTTAAGATACCCATTCTCCTCAACATCTATAGAGTCTATGCAATCCCAAGCAAAACCCCAATGGGCTTTTTTGTAGAAATTAATAAGCTAGTTCTAAAATCTATATGGAAAAGCAAAGAGCCTAGAACCTTGTCTTTTTCAAAAACAATTTTGAAAAAGAATAGCAAAGTTGGGAGGCTCACGCCACCTGATTTCAAGACTTGCTGTATCAAGCTATTTACCTTAAAGCTATAAATCAAGACAGTGTGGGTTTGGCATAAGCATAGACATATGGATAAATGGAACAGGATAGAGAGCACAGAAATAGACACACACACATATATGAGCAATTGATTTTTGACAAAGGTGTCCTTAAGGAGCAGAAAACAGAAGCTTCTTATGAGCAAAAACTGTCCAGGCAGGACTGGTCTGCCCTGTGGGTAGTGAACGCCCATCTGTGGAGGTGTATATGTAAGAGGCTGGATGGCTTTCTGTCCTGAACAGACTTCCTGAGTAATCTGAGGGAAATCCTCTGCGTCGCCGGTCGCTGTCCGCGGTGCTGAACACTCACAGCTCACCAGATCCTACTGCCTGCTGGCAGGTCGCTGTCCGCGGTTCTGAATGTGCACATCTCACCAGGTCCTACAGCCCTCTGAATCTGGGACTCTGGCTGGCTATAACTCGCGTTGGCCCTGGTTTTGCTTTGTTTTATGTTCTATCTTGATGCGTATTTTCCTATTTGATGCACTATTAAACTTTTAAGTTAAGTACTCGTTTATTATGGAAATGTCAAACATATACAAAATTAGAGAGAGTATAATAAACTTCTACGTGCTCATCACTCAGTGTCAACTGTTATCAACTCGTGTTTCATCAACTCTCACCCACC